ATGTTTTAGATTAGATATACAAATCTAAATTGTATGCAGTATAATTATCATTTATTTTGATATCATATTGTTTATAATATTATATATGCAATTGAAACATGTATTACAGTGAATTCCGCTTAATGTGGGCACGTTGGGACCAGCCCTGTTTGCCCACATTAAGCGGTTGCCCATAAAAACCGAAATTAGTAAAAAAAAAAAAAAAATTATAATAAAAAAATATATTTGTATTATCATATAATTGAAAAAAATTTTAAATAATTACTAAATATATAAATAAAACTAAATACATATAATATATTAAATAAAATTAATCTTTGGATGTAGAAGGTATACAAAACGTTGTAATTTTTCGTTGTCTAAGCTGTTTAGTATGGATCTGGTTGACAAAATAGGCACACGCTTCAAGTTTATCAGACGGACTATTTTCGTTTCCCTCTTGCATGAAGAACTTCTGCAAGAAATCAATGCACTTTTTCGCCTCTCTTTGGCGAAATTTGTTTATTTGAATGGTAATGATTTTTATTACTTTCGATAAACACAATCTCATAGATACGACGGAACCCGATTAAATTAATCGTTTTTAAATACTTCTGTGTATATTCTAACGCTATGATAAAAAAAATTGCCCACATAAACCGAATCGAGTGTCCATATTACGCGGTTTTATTTGACATTGTTAATATACATTTGTATTGGGACCAGACATGTTTGCCCACAATAAGCGGATGCCCATATTAACCGGTGGCCACATTAAGCGGAATCCACTGTATTCCTAATAACAATAATTAATAACTAATAAGTCACAGTTGTAACGAAAAAAGCATTTAACGAACTTCAAATTGACTATTATACCCACTGCCAAACATTACCGTCATGTTAATCATGTTTTATAATTATATAAATACATATTATATTAAATATATTATCATGATAATAATATTTATTGAAAATGTTGCAACCTATATAATAAATCCTATATATCGGGTCAATATCGAAACATAAAAATGGAATTGAAATTTTAAATTAAAATATTGGTATGTTTTGTCCTTATTCCAAGATAATAATAAATATATATTCGTTAAATATTATTGAAAAAAAAATCGGTCGACACTAAAACGCAAGTCAAATGAATATGGTATGATTATGTAGTGATTAAATTATTTAAAAAATTAATTTTATAGTATTTTTTTAAATTACCTAATTTTAATGTAGAACAGTTTTCGAATTATCTAACGCATCACGTTCAATATTCAGAATAAAACAAAAAATAAAACATACATATTTAGATTCTAAGTGGTGTAATAAATATATTGGATTTGCAACGAGATGTGTGTTTTTTAAAAAATATATATTTTTCGTGCTTGTGTATCAACGCTAGGTCACCTTTAGGCTTTTGGAGTAGTAAGACTGTTTTAGTTTGGAACTTTGAGGGTAATTACTAATTTTTCATGATAAATTAGATTAAGTTTGTATTTTGAGGAGAAGGTGAAAGTGTTCAATAGTTTTCAAAATATTTGGGAATAATAAAAAACTCAGAAAAACAAGAATTTTCATGCAAAACAAGTTTTGACAAAATAAGTTTTTTTGTACGTATTTGTAGAAACTTGATTTTTATACCCAATATTTTTAGTAACATTCTTTAAGCATGATAAATTTACGTAATTACTCAAATAACTTGGTTCTTTTGTATTATTTATAGAAATTATAGGTATAAATATATAAAGGTACCTACTATTTTTTGGTTATTTAATTTACAAGATTTATAATACAATTATCGTTTGTGAGTAAATTAAATTAAATAAGTAGTAATTACTTAGTTAAAATCATCAATAAAAGATTTCCTAATAAGTTGTAGAATTGTATTTATAATCAATAATGTTATAATATCAATTGCCAACTGGTAAAAAGCCAGCGATCAAATAGTTTATATTGGCCACGTGTGATTTATTTTAAAATGTTTAATAGTGTTAAGTGTTAGGATACTATTCGTTCTAATGAGCTATTTATGTTGCATGTGTTTAGTTCAAAACAGAAATTAGTTGGTACCTACATATTATTTAAAATATTTTGGGAATAAAATATTTGAGTAGTATTTAAAATTCTATTAAGCAAAACTAGTCTTTTTAATAGTTTATAATATTGACTATAATATTATGTCTATGAAGTTTATAGAAATATAATCTGTCTAATATTCTAGTTACTGTTTTATATTTTATTATTTTTCTAATGTTTAATAATTTAAATAAAATATATTTTATGTTCAGAGTTCAGACAGTCATATTATATTATTATGTACCAAGCAACCTAAATTAATTAATTTTGTTTATACATATTCATAAATTATATTATTATTATTTTTAATTGTTACAAATTAATCAGGGATGGTGCTAGAATTTTTTTTTAAGGGTGTGAAGTAGGGATAGGACCATTTTGTACATGGGCTGGATTTTGAGTAATAGTATTATGGAATACTACCTATAAGTTATCATATTATATTTTATCATCAATAAATCTAAATTAGATAAATAAATCTACATATATTATATATTACTCTATGACTTAAATATAGTACAGTATTTTTTTTTTCTGTGGGGGGGGGAGGCTGAAAATGAGGCTTCCATTTATGTTAAGAAGGCTGGAGCACCATCTCACCCACCCCTTACGTCGTCCCTGAAATTAATATATTGTAATTGTAACCTGTAACTCTCTACGATCACCATAAGCTGTTGCCTAAAGATGGTAGATATTATTGTAAATTATTTGTAGAAATTGTTTAATTTTTTTAATCATTTAAAATTATGGTTATAATTGAATTTTATTTTAAAAATAAATTTTCCATTGTTTTACTTACATACTTATATGCAGTGCTTGATTTGGGGGGGGGGCGTGGGGGGACGGAGTCCCATTTCTTTTTTAATTTTTTTTAGCGTACCCCTTCTATTTGCCCCCATGGTAATGTTACGGTTAATTTTGTGTGGAACGCTTGTTTATCAAACATCCGATGAGTCCCTCTTCTATTATTTTTCCAAATCAAGCACTGCTTATATGGCTACAATACTTCATAAATAAGTAAAAGATGATTTTTCTAAATGCATAAACACTACTTTTATCAAAAGATGTATTTACGTTTTAGGATATTAATTTTTAAGTTTTCTTAAAAATTAATAATCAAATATGCTTATATTTTTTTATTACAGTACATTATTATGTAATTATTAATAAATATAATTTAGATCCCATCATAAATTGAAAAACATATTTATATAACTAATATAAGTTATTTGTCACATTCGATTTGTAGATTTGTAATAGGGACTATAGTATAGTCAGTATTTAACAATGTGTTAATATATTATATATTTATAGATATATTATAATAATTAACATATAAACATATACTATTATAATTGTTTATACTTTATAATATATTGTATATTTTTATAGTATATTAGTTCTTAAGTATACAATTAAATATCAATTATAAAAATTAAAATATACCTCATGTAACTGTATCTATATAAAATTAATTGTAATCATCTTTTTATAAAATATAAATTATACATTTATACCTAAGCTTATTAGGAATATTTAACTATTATTACATTTATACATTTAATAAATTTAATTCTATTGCAACTTACAGATTCTATAGAAATGAAGATAAAACTGTAGGTATAGAATACAAAATTAACACATTTATAAATATATATATATATATAGATTATAGGTATATAATAATAAAATACACGTAGTCATTTTGAAATGATACAATAAATAAAACATTATTACGTAGTAGTAGTATAGAAAAATAATATAAATCATGATAAAATTATCTAACTACTTATATCATTATTAAAGAATTTAGTAGAGTTGTTAAGTTGAAAGTAGGTACATATAATATATTGTTCATAAGCAAATAATGATATCTATAGGTATGATCATCGCCGAAATTTCTCTTCGTTATACGCCTATACAAATATTGAAATATGTATAGTATATAGATATTACCTAATTTGAAGGTAACACCTATACTAAAAATTGAAGCTGGAGTAGGTTTGGTACTGAATTTAAAACTGTAATTAGTTTTAGGTAGGTCGTTGGTACCTATGTAAACAATACACTATATTAAATAAATGTGATCATCGAGTGTTTAGTATATCGTTAAATCTTAAATACCTATGTTTGTTGTCTTAAACTCGAATTATTATAAGAGATACCAAGCCTAACCTTGAAGGAAGGGGACATAACACAAATTATAATTTATCATTTTAGATAGGTGTATAGACGTATAGTATATAACATGGTTAAAACTTGCAATTTGTAGCGTGAGTCACGATTTCCGAATAAATTAATAATATATTATAAATTATAATAACACTAACTTCAAGCAACAGCTAACACATACGATACATAATGTATAGATATTAGATATTTAGACAATATTATGTTGTGTTAAGTAGGTACCAAGTTTGTTGTGTATTAACTATTAGAGTATACAGTGACGGGCTGAACTTAAAATTTAAATGACGCAATTTCATATTTAAGTATTTATCACCACCAATCCTAATATCAAACCTCAAAAATCCGATTGTCTGTCCTCCACTGGTCTACCTCCACTGTTTCCAAATTTACTCGTATTATGGTAAAAATTATTATACTTTCTACGTAATAGATAGATACCTATTTAAAGTAAGTATTTAGTATTTTTTATGTAGTCAATAACCATCTAAATTTGAATCTAAAACTATTGCGTAAATACAATACCTATACACTATACTACTTTCGGATCGCCAGTCGCCACTGTCCACTGAATGTGTGGTATTTATGGATCGTGATTAATCAGCAATGATGTAAATTCTATATAATATATTAATATATTGTTTAAATTGTTATCACGATGTGGGCAGTGTACGTTTGGCTAGCGCCACCTGTGGACATCGCTGCCACCAGTGTATTGTTATTGTTTCACTGATAAAGAATAAACTATTATAATATTATTATTCACAGCAGCCAGCAGGTTATAACGGCAGACGATACGGAATGGACTTCCCCGTTAGGCAACTGTGATAACGTATTGATCTATAGTCTGTACTACATCGTAGTGTATTCCGTAGTGTGTGCCTTCGTATTAATTGTATGCACGTCATCGTATTTTTTAATAATATGATACATTGGCGATGGCAATCGTCGGATTGGCTTTTGCGGGGAGTCTCGTGCGATTTGGCTGTTTAAAGAATTCGCGTTACGCTGAATAGCTGGGGACAAAAAAAAAAAAAAAACATTTGTTATTATTTTTTACACTGTGGGACGACCGATAGTGCGATAGTAGTTACTAATGTACTATTTACCTCAAATATTATGATGTGGAGGTGGCACAAATAGTAGTAATAATAATAAATAATAATAAAATTTATTTTGGTGCGCCTTTCAAATTCAAAATTCAAATCGCGTATTCGATTGTATCGTTTGGCCGTACTTATTAAAAGAAAATAAAAAAAAAATAAACAACAAAACAATGTGAACTTTGCTGCTATGTTGTCTTTGGTTGTGTACACATTTCACTGGATATTTTTAGCTTCCAGATATCCATCAATGTATTGTGTAAGTGATGAATGTTATTACAATTCTTACACTTGCCAGTGTAATCAATGTTTTTAATTTTCGTCCAGTTTATGATGACTGATGGATATTGATCAATCTATAAATGGGTGGTTTGAAAGGATAAGCTTGATACAGAGGAAAGCAGATCACTACAAGCTTCATCAAGATATTCTTTCGTGAGTAATACGTAAATATTTTTATGATAATGGACATTTATTACTAACACCATTTAAAAATCTGACAAGTAAAATTTTATTACAGATTATTATCGGATAAGAACGATTTTGATTTTTGTATTAAATCAAAGGGAATTATTATTAGTGCACATACTTGCATATTACGCTGCCGCTGTCCACAATTTTATCATGAGGTTATTAAAAAAGTTGATGTTGCTAGTTTGCCAATTTATTTATTAGAGCGTATTTCAGATTTTATCAAGTAAGTGATAAATTTTTACAGCATAACATAGATTAGTAAATTTGATGCTATAAATTATTAGTAATTGAATTGCTTTGTTTTTTTAAAACCATCAAACTTAAGTTATTCATTATAACATATAATAAATAAATAGTTCTACTATTGAAAGTATAAATTGTTATTTAAAATAATTAACAAATGTAGGTAACTGCAATGTAGTTGTGTTATCATTTATTATATGTAAGTTGTCATGGTGACTAAGATAAAACTTAACTTTCACTTGGCTCATCTTCACTGAAGCACATAGTTGTAGTTTCATTAGAAACAATTAACATACACCTGTTGATTTCTTGTCATTTTTTCTTTTTATTCGGATGTTCACGTTTTATTTAATCATCACTCTCTCTTCCAAAAATGTTTGTTTTATACTCCAGAAATTAGCATTTTCAAAGTTCTATCTGAAGGTAATGATAATAATATGTGATATATTACTAAAATATGGTAGGCAACTAAGCTAGTCGTAAGTAATAAACATTTAATGATACATTTTTATCTTATTTTTATTTTATTAAATCATTATTTTATTGTTTTTAGAAAATAAAAATTAATAAATTAATTTTATTTATTCTTTTAAAATACCAAATTTCACTGTTTGAATAATAAAAATATTTTGGATATTATTCTATTAAAATTCCAACACTTAGATTTAAATATGACTTAAATAGTGTAGATAATTTAAATAATGTGATTAAGTTTATCAAAATATGCAATTTTGTAGGTTATTATGAAATAATGTTTCACTTGTATAAACACATTAAAGGTGTAGTAATGCATTTTGCCTGTGATTAGACATAATTTGGGAAATATGACAGATTAGATTTTTTCTAAATTATTTATGTCTCAATTAAAATAAATTTTATTTAAATAACTTAAAATTTATTTTATTTTTAAATTATTGAAATTTTTCCATCATAAAATAATTTATTAATATTTCAAGTTTGTATAAATAGACTAATGAATAAATATTATTAATGTTTTTAATTTCTTATCAAAGAAATTAATCAGAAGATCTGTTTCTACTTAATGTATACATTACAGATGATAATATCCTTTATAAAACTTCTTTAAATAAACTTTATTTAAGATTCAAATACAGTACATTTTCTGATAAATTGATATTTATTTAAATAGGGAAACTTAAAATTTCATGAATTTGAACATATTTAGTATTGCTTAACTAAAGTTTAAATTATTATTCAAACCTTTAACTTTGTTAAATTTAAAAAAAAATTAACCATTAAAAATTTTAAATAGTAATAAAATTGTGTCTACACTTGATAAAAAAAAAAAAAATTAATCTGCTAAAAATTTCAAATTTTTATAATTATTTAAAGTTTGAGCTTTTGAAAAGTTCTCAAAAGAATCCATAAAAAATAATAAAATAAACAGTTTATATTAATTAGAATTCTTAATAGTTATATATATATATATACATTTATATGTGTGTTTATTATTAAATATTTATGTATAATCTAAATATTTTGGAAAATAAAAGTGTATCTAAATTTGAATAAAAAACAATTAGGTATTGTTAAAATTTAACAAGTTAAATTAATTTAATTCAGATATAAAATAATGTTTAAGAAAATATTTATTAAATTTTTAAATTGAAAGTTATATTATTGATTCATAATCAATTATTTCAGAATTCTACCTAAAATCAAGAATTAATCTCATCTCAAAAGGGTGCAAGCGATATTTATATAGATTGTTAAACACCTATTTTAAATACTTAGGTAAGATATAGGCTGTATAAATATTACCTTTGTGAAAATATCGCATGTACCCCTTTGCATGATTTTGTATACCTTTAAATAATAAATTGTTCTTGCTCATAAAAATCAACTCATTTTATTATTTCACTCATTCAAAATTAAAAATGGAATTTGATGTATGATGCCTTGGATTTCCTTTAAAGTAACTATGGTTTTACTGATTATCTAGTTATTACTAACATAAATATAAGTCATGTTGATAGACTTTACAATTAATTTAATTATAATTTTTCATATGTAGAAATGTTCAATTTAACTTTGTAAAGTTAAATTTTATCAAAACTACTAAAACAGGTTTGGTAAATAATCAAGTAACTTTATGTATTTTTATTATAAATACAATTATTTTCTTAAAGCTTTTAAAAATGGGGACCTATTTAAAAATGAATAAACATGTATATATATAAAATTGGATAGTCATCATCTTGTATACTACTATTTTCTGAATACAATAATAATTATTAATTACTTATGGTTGAGGACAATAGGTAAGCAAATCAGACCTTTTAAAGAATTACATTGTTTACATACAATTTTCTTTTCATGGTTATCATTTGTTTTTAAACTAAATATTTATACTACCTATATATTTATTCAAAACTAAATAATTTTGTATTTAATTATTTATTTTGTAGGTGTGTTTATTCTGAGAACAATGTTACTGTATTTGAAAAAAAATTGATTAAATCAATTAATGTTGATCATCCAAAAATAAAAAAACGTCCATCCATTGATTTATATGAGCTTAAAAAGATATCATGTGATATAAATCCATTATATTATTCACTAGCACAGTATGATGATCTTTCGTCAAGTGAGTTCAGTGATTTTGAACAGTGTGCATATGATGACATAGAATCAGTCATTTTAAACCAAGTGAATATTAGTAATTCTTCATTTAACAGCATGGATATTAAATCAAATAATTCAGTCGAATCTCATCAAGTTAAGTCTCAATCAAGTAGCTCTCATCAAGAGTCAACTGTGTTAGCTAATAAAGACAGTTTTATTGATGAAAATTCTGCACTAAATTTTAAAATTGATGGATCAGATATTAGCAACAAAGTTCGAATAGTAAACAATCTTAGTCGTGATTTACAAAATGATCTTATAAAAAAACCGAATGATGACATAAATAGTTTTTCAAATCAAGAATTTGCGATTGGATGCATCAATACATTAAATTCATCAATTCATAGTCCAAATAATAAAACAAATCAACCAACTATTGGAATTGTAAAGAATAATACCGAAGCCTATAATTCTGATTCATCAAGGGTTGATAGTAAGAGTTTAAATGATGAAAATATTTTACTCAATGATAAAAAAAATAAAACAATTCAAGAAACTGATGATGATTTAGATATTATATTGCCTAATAGTTTTGAAACTTTTACTGTAATTAAAAAAAGTAATGAAACTGGAAACATTTTTTCTAAATCTAATCATTTTGAAGATAGTGTAAATAAAAGTAATCAAGATCCATTAAAAAACGAATCAATTAATTTTCAGACATTCACTGTAATAAATGAAAATATAATAATTGATAATGAGAATACATTTCAAAAAGATTTAGTCGTAAATAGTGAATCTCTCGAACCTGAAACTTCAAATGATTACAAAACATTTACTGTTGTTAATAATATTAGTAGATCTCCTTTTTATACAGAACAGCTGAGTAGTTCATCTAATTCACCTTTATCAAGCAGTAAAATATATATAAATAATAATGACATTGATCTAGATATATTACCATCAACTCATACATTATCTCAATTTGATACAATTACTTTATTACCACAGTCAAATAATGTGAATGAAGAAGAAAATGTTTCGACAACTTTAAATAATGATAAAAAAGAGATTAATATATCTAATTTTTATATTGATACAATTAAGAAAGAAAACTGTGGAAATAATGAGTCCTGTAGTCAAATTGATTTTAAAGCTGAGAAAAAAATAAAAAATGATGTAGTTAGTTCTTCAAATAATATTGATAGTATTGTAACATCAACTGAAAGTATTATTTGTACTAATATAAAACAATGTAATGATGCTATACCTGGTGCATTGTGTACAGTTAATGATAATACTATATTCAAATTTATTTCTGAAGATAACAGTAGTCCAAACATTTCATCTAACCAGCATATAGAAAAGTTGAAAAGTTCTGGTGAGTCTGATAGTACTCTTAGTTTACATCTTGATATTTTAGAAAATACTAAAGGAATTAATTCTCCTGATTCTTTAAATGAAGATGAGGTGTTTGGTCTGGAAGAAAGGCCAATAGTTTCTAATAAGTTAGAATTTGTACCTTTAGAAGCAACACCAATAAAAGATAATAGAAGTCCACGTTTATCTAGAAAGTATATGGAATGTTCACCTGTTATATCAGCTAATGCTTATATTCCCGACTTTGATGTAGAAAAATCATCTGTTACGGAAGAAAATAGTGAACGAAAAAACTCAAGCTCATTTTTCATTGATTTTAATCAAGGTAAACCAAAAAATAAACCTAAACGTTTTGAAAATCTCACAAAGTCTTTAGATTCTAGTACAATTGCTAATAGCAAAGAAAAAATATTCTCTATGTTTATTGATTTTAACGACGATTCTGAATCCAGCGAATCATCATCTAAAGGTATTAAACTTCGTAAACCTCAAACACTTGCAGATCGGTTTGTTCGTATGCATAGTGAAGAGGCTTGTGCCAAAACTAATGATAGTGAAAACACAGTAACTCCTCCTCCAAGTCGAATGACATCAACTGTTGAAAATTCTTCTGCTGACATATCTGAATCATGTAAGAAACAAAGTGTATTCATGTTCATTGAAAATGATTCACCTGCCCCAGTCAAACGAAGATCATTACCTCAGAGCTCTAGACTTAAATCTCAAAGAAATTCTTGGAATGTTGACAGTACAGTTGTTCATAAAACTCATCATAGAACTCATAGTGTAAATTTATCCAAAGAAAGTGATTTAGATGCCAGGATGACTCAGAGTCATATAGAAACAGCATCAAATGACTTCAGTAAACCTTCAGATTCATTTGATACTTTAGAATGTAATGTAACAATTACTGTAAATGGTGCAAAAGATAGTGGAATTGGTCTAGTTGATTCTTTTGTTCGGCTATCTGATATGGATAAAACACCTTCTCAAGAAATTATGAATAATTTAAATAAGAGTGAGTCTAAATCTGAATCTTTGAGACGAGATTTAAAAAACACAGAGTTAGGTAGATGTTTAAAACGAATGTTTCCATATTTAAAAAGTATTGAAGTTGAACGTATATTACAATCTAAACCACCTCATGCCCTTGACAGTAGAGAAGAAATTAAAACTGGTCTTGGACAAGATTTACTTCGCATGTTTATAGAAGAAATTGGCGCTGATACAACAATTGATGTTAATGGGAGACGAATTAAAGCCCATAAATGTGTGTTAACTTCAAGATGTCAATATTTTGCTGCCATGTTTAGTGGTGGATGGGTACAGAGTGCTGGAAATGTATTATATTTGAAAGGGTAATTATTATTATGATTTTAAAGGATATTATTCTTGTTATTTCATTTATTTTTTTTAAATTCTAGCTTTTCTTATAATACCGTCCATTTAACATTAAGATATATCTATAGTGGAGAGTGTGATTTCTCAGAGATAAAAAATGTGGCTGAATTATCCAAATTAGCTGATATGTTGTGTCTTGAAGGATTAAAAGATAACATAATGTTATACTTAGCAGCCGAATACTGTCATTTTTTTAAAGAGGTTAATATTATGCTAATTATTAGTTTTTAGTGTAAAATTTTAATTTATAATTTATATTATTAGGTTTGTGAGCGTTGTACTATTGGTATTCTCGAGTGCTTGACGTTAAGTGTTGCTTATGGACTCGATGATCTTTATTTATCTTGTATAGTATGGATAAATGATAATTTTTCAGTGGTCTGGCCAACACACCATTTTGTTACATTGCCACAGGATTTAAAAGTCAAATGTTTCAGACATAAAGTTGCCCACATTGATGTAATATATTTATATAATATAGTTTGGTCAACAGAAATGTAATTCTCGATTGCTGATTAAAATCATTTTAATTAATTACATGTTTTTGCTGACCATATACAATAATTATATTTTATATGTATTATATTCATTTGTTTAATGTATAGGATTTAAATGATGTATTGAGTGTAACAGAAGGCTGTGAAAAGATAAAAAAATCTTTACCAAATGATGAATGGACTAAAGAAATTATAGATTTAACTACAGACCTTTCAAATAATGTAATAAAATATTTGGGAAAACATTTTTATTCTACCATAACTTCAAAATAGTAAGTCAACTACAATAAATCATAAATGTATAATTATGTTAATAATTATGAACTGTATAATCTGACTTTGTATTTCTTGATAGTTTTAAACAAATGCTTGAAAGTGAAAACGTATTTGCTGATAGCTTTGCTACACATTTGTTAGCATCTTGTAATTGTGCAAATAGAAATCAAATACGACAAGCTTATGATCACTTGAACAAATCATCATCAAATAATTTTTGGGTAAAATTACTAGTTAAATAATTTTTAAAAATTAACTTAGTTAAGCCAAATGTATACAGTAAATGGTGCCAATAGTTTTATTAGAATAGTTTTGAACATTTTATGTGCTTTTGTTTATAGTAAACTAATTTGTAATATATACATATTTTTATCTTTATCTATCTCAAATAAGAGTAACCTCAGGTAGCAACATATTTTTTTCCGATTCTATCAAATTATACCCATCAAATATGGTGACTTTTGTAATTAGTTTTGATTTCAGACAATCACAGTGAAAAAAAAAATAAATATTAAATTGTTTTAATCTTAATAATATGAAAGCTAGGTGGCTATTATAATAATAAAATTATTCTAATTATTTAATATGTTTTAGCCATGCCCATTGTCACCTCTTGAGGTTACTCTTACTTGAGACAGAGTAGATATATGTGTATCTGTTATAAAATTCTGTTATTATCATGTTGGTGTTATTAAATGTACAATTTATTGAGATAAGTCATATTTTATATTGATCTTAAAATTAATAAGTTAATAATTATTCTTGTTCAAAAGTAAATAATTAATGTAGCTTTAATCTTTGATATTTAAATATAAGGTAAACCAAGTATTTAAATTATTCAAAAATTTACTACCTTGTTATGTTAAAGAGTGAAGATACTAATTAATAATAATACTTACAAATATTAGTTATCATTCATTAAAAATTGTCTAGGTTATTTTATTATACTTTTTAATAACTAATCAATTCAAAAAGTATATATTTTATAATATTGTTTAATATTAATTTGTAGCATACACAAGGAGACATTTTAGTGAATGCTATTATGGAATTAATAGTTAAAGGTTTAGCTTCTGACTTCAAAAATGGCAGAGAAAGACAAGCAATGGGTAGTCTCCCAAATGATTATCGTATGTCTGAGGCTCTTGCTAAAAGAATCTCATCTGAGTTGGGCATATCTGGAATAGAATTATCAGCAAATGGAACTCTGATAACATCAAGTCCTATTAAAAAGATGACAAATAATTCTAGAACATTAAATAAAACACAGGAAAATAAAGTTAAACTAAAAACTGCGATTGAAAGTATTCCGTTAACAAAAGTTAAAACTCCAGGAAAATTTGCAGAGGTATTAAAAAAAAAATTCTCAATTATGTATTATGTATTTTATTAAATTATATCTGTTTAACATTTTATAATAATATAAAAAACTTCAGGTAAAATCACGGTACATGGAACCAAAACCACAATTGTCTACACCTACACCTCCAAAAGTGTTATCTGTTCATAAAGATTTACCTCGTGGTCGTCGCAATATGTCGTCGTCGACTTCTCTAATTTCATCACCTAATGTTAGAAGCACTATGGCAAGTTCCAGATTGTCTACTAATCGAATGGATAGTAGTTTGAAAATTAAAACATCATCTGAATTATCATTGTCTACTCCTAAAACAAAACCTAGGACTATGTTGGCAAAAACAGATCCTCTACCTTCTAACAATCGTTCTTCATCGATTGCAATTAAACAAACACCCAAAACTAATAGAAAACCTATACAGAATAATGTAAGTATTAAAAAAACATCTAATGAAAAAATTATGAATGGAATAAAAAGACAAACTATTATTCCAAAAACTAAAATGTTGCCAAATGGACATCCGACTATAGGTTCTAGATCAGGTACATTTTGTAAAGATGAACCCACTGTTATACACAGTAAAGATATTACTAGTTAGTTCTGTGTTGTAGATCAATAAGTAGTTAAAAAAAGAAAAAAGTGATGGTTCATATTGCATATTATATAATATAGTTTAAGTTATAATTTTTTTCAATTCAAATCTAATTGAGATACTTATACTTTTAAATTTAATAAAAATGTTTGGTACTAATATTGTAATATAATTCATTGTAAATTTTAGTATTGTATCGAGACCAAAATATATCTCCAATTATTCTCATAAACTGTACAAACATAAATTGATGAATGATCTTATTTGTAATATATTTATGTGTTTATTATTTACTTGTTTATTTATTTTTTTTTTTGCATATAAAATAATATTTTTGCTTGTAATAATTATTATCATTTACATATGTTAAATATTGTACATATTTATCATTCATAAAAATATAATTTCTCATTTATCTCAAGTAAACAGTGTTTACTGTGCAATATTTAATTATAAACTGTATAATAGATAAGAGTTGATATTATCTACCTATTTTTTATAATATCTCAATATACCCTTATAAATATGATTCCAATTTATTTGTTATAAACTTAAATTAACGTTTTGGGTATAAAAAGTATAATTGTAATTAGTTATAAAAACTAAATTTTAAAGATGTATATTTATATATATATATTACTATATTCTTGTTACTTAATTTTTTTTTGTGATGAAATATTTTTAACAATTTTATATTTAAAAAATTAAATCCTAACACTGTCTTTCTATGTTTTTAACTGTAAAAAATTGCAATATTTTAATAAGATTATTTTATTTTAAAATGTGAACTAGTCATTGTGCCATTTATGATTTAAATTCTTAAATTTTTCAGTTAGCATTTACTATATTTATTATTGTTTACTATTTATTTTTATATTTAATAGTTATTTATGCACAGTTTTGTATTTAATAGTACACTTATTTATGTTTATAATTTATTAATAATTGTTTTTTAAATATTTTAATTTAATTTATCCTATGTTTTGTCCGTCCAAATTCCAAAGATAGTATAAATAATTTTTGTTTTATGTAAACTTGTAGCTGTTTTTATGAGGATGATTTAAAATATTATTCAACAATTTGTGCAATCAAAAAAAAAAAAAAAAATGTGCAATCTCATCATTGAAGGTGTTAAATTTATTGATTTTATTTTTTTGATTTGTAAATTATTTTGTTTTTAATCTTAATATCTTAAATATAAGGATATTATCATATTATATTCAAATAGTTAAAACATTGTATGTAGGTATGATTTATCTTTGTATTTTGCTTTAATTGTGCTTGAATTTAAAACATATACATCTATATATATTTTTTTTTAATTCAGCCTAAGTTAATTTATAATTCATAATATATTAAGTGACTATAAATACTATTACTAATAATTTATTTTGATTATAAATAATATGATATCAATCCTATTAAGTTGATCAAATCATTGTAGATTATGTGATAATAATAGAATCAACCATTTATAATTAAGCTCTCTATTTTGTTCAAATATAGGTATTATGTATTTAATCTTTTATGTAATATTAAAGTTTTTTGTAATGTTACTGGTAAGCATTTACAACAATCCCTATTATAGTTACCTATTATTTAGGTGAAAATATATTTTGAAGTCCAATATTTGCTTTTTATAATATGTTAAGCTCAATAAATATAGTTATAAATATTAAGCAAATAAATTTATTCATGTGTATGTTTTAAATATTTTATTAATTATTTACATTAAGTACATACTAAACATACCTTACATAACTATACTTAAGTGTTAATAGTATTCCAATATAAAGAAGTATAGTTAAGTTTGGTGAATACTTAACTTTGATAACATTTTTGAGCCACATTAAAAAGTACTAGATTTTACTCAAGTTAACTTACTTATGTTTCACACAGGATACTCAACTATTTTATAGGAAAAAAATAAGCAAAAAATTATAAATATCTTTAAACCCATTGTTTCTTCAATATTCAATTTTGTTTTTTATATCTACTGTAATTTATTTTAGTAATTATTAGAATTTTGCAATTTCTGTATACAGGAAGATTAACATACATCTTAAATTAAATATTTGAGCAGTTTTGTATTTTTGAAAAATTTAAACACTTGCCAAACTATAAAGTATTTAGATATTGTCTCAAAGGTACATTTATTTAAATTTGAATTAATTTGCCAGGGAATAAAACTTATTTTATATCAGTGTTTTACCAAACAATAATTTGCAACATTACCAATTATCATGTTTATACAATGTTAATTAATATGTATATAATTTTAGAAAATAAAATATTTTAAGCAAACTTTCTGGGTAACTAATGTTACCTTGTTTGGTTACCATGGAATAAAACAATTACAAGTTTTAATACTTAGTGAATGGATTCATTTTCTTTCACATATGCATTTATAGAAACTAAATCTGATCAGAAAATGTTTAAGCTTCATAAAAACTTTCAATTTTGCTTAAATTTTATTTTATGGATAAATTGAAAATTTCTCACTCAGTTTGTAAATATTGTTTATAGATAAGATTTGGGACTTCTTGTATTTCCGTACTTTATTTTTTGTAGTGGATGAAGATTCTAGATTATTTGTTTCATGAAATTATGAATTTAAATTAGTAATTTTTGTTATAAATTATACCTATTTGATGAATTTATGCATTTTTAAAAATTATTGATATCAACTAGTTTATTATTTAAATACATGTTTTAAATATTTTTAGTGTAAAAAGTCCCAAACTTTATTCATAATTCAAAAATTTTATTATGTCATAATATCTTAGTGTTGACTTAAAAATACTTTACCAATTTCTTAAATTTAATTGAAAAACATATGTTCTTCTTTCTTACCATTAGATATATGGACTAATTTCTGCAGAAACTATTATTTTATTATTTTATTTTTTTAAATAATTTATATTTATAATACTATCACAATTTATCCAATAATATTATAGTAACAATTTATAAATTGTAGGTACTAAATTAATTTTTTTATTTATCTGTAGGCAAATAAATATTAGCTATAGCTAATACTTGAACAATCTTTTTTTTTTCAAACATTAATTCAATTGAAAAGGTATAATTGATTTAATATAGACAATTAATTATTAAATATTTAATAGCTAAAGTTTTGATTAACAATTACACATGCGTGTTGTTCATGTATTTTTTGTATTTATTCAATTAATGTTACTAATTCATTAAAGCTTACAAAGATCATTTCAATAGTAAAAAAAGGTCAAACCTACTTTTTAAATAGTTTGAAGCATTAAATAATACACATTATATACAGTCATTTTTTATCATTATTATATAACTAGATAGCAACAAGATATAAAATTGTCCTTCTAGTTTAGATGTACAATTCAACACTTTTAGCTACAACAGCTAACGTTAATGACAATATCTTCTTTATTGAAACAACTTTCATTGTTGTGAAATCCGTTTATTCATATCCAAAACAGGAATACTGCTCATCAGAGTTTATTATTCTAATTTATAACTTAAAAATTTGTCAATTAATTCATCATTGATATATTCTATATTCCATGTATAATGAAATACATGTTCACCTTAGCCTTGCACAATTTATAAAATTACGGAAATATAAACATTTATAATGATGAAGAATAATATGTCTTTTATTTTTTTATTTTCATTATACATTAATATATAATTATACAATATTTATAATAAATATATCTTATTAAAAATAACAAAAATAAATTTCAATTAATTATATCTATAATATTTTTTGTTTAAACAAAATTAACTATCAAATTAAATAAAATGATATGGAATATGTAACCTAACAATAGTTGAATGTAATAACACGATGAAAACAAAAATTATATCAACTAATAATATTATTATCATTGGTTATTTCTAGAAATTGAGCACAAATATCTCTCCAGCATTCACCCTTTTGATTGAACACAAACTTGTAGTAATTTCCGTCAGCACAAATTACTTTAACAGTTTACAAATTAAAATATGCTTATAAATTTAAAATTTAAATTATTACCTATGATGCAATTGTTTTCTGATCCAAATGCACAAACACACTGTGGTCCATTAGGCACTTGAAATTTGCAAAAACTCCAACTAGAACTAAAGTATTTTGGTAAAAAATTAGAAGCTAAACTTGATTGCTTATTTAAACTTTGGTCTTCTAATGCAAATATATGAATGGTTCCATGATCACTAGCCACACACATCATAGTTGAATCCGCGTTGAAGTTAATACTAAAATATTGTTGTAAATAAATTAATAAATAAGTAAAATAATATTATAAAAATAAATGAATAAACAAATAAAATACCAATAAATTTGAGCTGTATTGGTCCCTCTTCGAAATTCATACAACATATTTCCAGACTTTGTATCAAATACTCTTATTAGAGTTCCCTAAAAATGTTTTTAATATGCTTTAATTAGTTTTGTTGACAAATATTTATTTTTTAATTAATAAGTACTCTTTCAGATGCAGTGGCCAGTCTTGTACCCTGTAAATTAAGAGCTATACATCCTAAAAGTGTTTCATGTGCAGCAATATCCAAAGGAGGTTTATCTGTATCAGCTAGATCTATCAATTGAACATGTCCCATTTTTCGTCCAGGGAATGCTAATAAAGAATTGTTGCTATTAGGGCATAGCATACACAAACCTAAAAAATAGAATTATTTAATTTGTCAATTAGTTTTTGTAGACAATGAAGAGAGTTATCATGATATTACCTTTTGGATTAGCATGAGTTTCAAACACATGTAACTGCTGTGGAGTCTGCGTGAACGTGTATACTTTGATGACACCTTCAAGCACAACAACTATTCGATCTCTTCTTAGTCGCACACATAGAACATGCGTATTGAACTCCAAAGTAATCACAGAATCTTTTTTCAGATCATCCCAGATAACAACTGTGGGCAAAACAACCTCACAAATGAAAACGTTGATGGGTTTAATTTTTGTGTTCAACTGAGGTCGTACCTCTGTTTGACGGATATTTTGGTGATGTACCTCCACCAACCATAGCTAAATAATTACACCGAAATAACATTTCTACAAAGGCAAGGCCTCCATCTGGGAAGTCTTGGCGTACTTTTTCTTTTAGAGGGTCACAGTTGTAAACTCTAAAACCTTTGTCCATACCACAAGCAAAACATCCTAAAAACAAATCATAATTAGATATTTTTTATTAAATAAATGCATCTATTTATTTGGCATGTGCAAAGGGACTGAGGCATCTCTTGAAATTATTAAATTAATGTTCTAAAATTTAAGCCCTATAGCCAAAGGCCAGTATTAATTTATTAGTAAATAAAATCTAATTATTAATAATAATTAACTTGAATTTTAAAGAAAAAAGCCTAAAAATACTGGGGTACCAGTGCATTATTTTAAATTCGGGTTTGTGCATGCCATATCTAATAAAAATAAAAAAAAGTTAATTAATTTAACAGTAACATGTTGTGATCAAAATAACAACAGTAGAATTTGCTTGACACTCTTTAATGGGACCAGCTTTCTAGAATGTTTTATGTGGGAATGAAAAAAAAAATAAAGTGATTGAATTATGAAGTTAATTATTTTATTATTGAATATAATTTAATGGGCAACACACTAATACATTAATTATAATTTAATGGGCAATACACTAATACATTAATTATAATTACATACATACATATATTTTTTACTTCTAAATTTAATTAAAAAAAAATTATTATTACATATTTTATTATTGTTTGTTAAAAAAACGATCTATTTTGGTTTGCTTATGATTCTGACAATACGTTTCAGCAAGTACGTTTTCTATTTTGTTTAGATAATTCAACATTTCTTCAAAATTTTCTACTGAAAATAATATTTTTTGAATTTCTGATAGATGTTGCAAGCTACTTTTTAAATCTCATAATACAACAAAGTATAGTAAAACTGTTATAATAGGTAATGATAAAATAGGTATAGTGATAAAATAAAACTATAAGAACAAAATTTCTATTTTTATTTTCACAAATAAAATAAAAATTATTGTAATCTGCTGAACAAAAGAATGTTTTATCTGATGAGATAGAGAAAATCCGAGCGTCTTAACAGGTGGTTTTTACATCGATTAGTATTGGAAATGTCTAAGGATTAACAAAATATAGTGTTATGCGGGAAAGCCTTTTAAGCGAGAGCGACTTAAGCAAGTTTTACTGTAGTTATGTATATTAAGTGTGCACACAATCAACTGAAACAAAAATAATAAAATACAAAATTTTTTTTTATTTGTAAAAAAGTAAAGTTAAATACATTTAATTATTAGGGGTTTAAACATCTAGTGAAATTATTTAAAAATATTTAATTATTATGCTATGATATACTTTACTATTAACTGAGTGAGTGTTTTGGTACTTCTGGGTAATCATTTGGGCTAGGTAACAAAATTTTAAATGTCAAAACTACCTACCTTTTTAGTGTGTGTCACATCTGGTTTACTGTGACTACCATAATAAAAATTAAGTTCAAAGACATAATTTATAAATATTATTCAGATATTATTTCAAAATAATAATGTTTAAATATTTTGGGGGTTACCTTGGGTAAGTACGTATTATAAATGTCTTTGCAATAGTTATAAATATCCAACTTTAATACTTAATATTACAAAAAACTACTTTAAGGTTTAATTGATTTACAATAAAAACCAGATTATAGTTATTATCTATTAGAAAATCACCAGGTCATATACTGTGAACAAATCTAAAAAGTAAGAATTTACCAAAACTGGTTACTCAAGATCCTAAAGATTTTTTAGAAACAATATTGATGTTGACATTAATAGGGCAATAAAAAACAGTATACAACTAATATTGAAAAAATTACTAGTTACAGGTAATTTTTAAGGACATTAGGTAGAATCAAACAAATTAATGAAACATATTAATGGGTAGGAATTTAAAGTTGTTTAATTGGAAGAACAAACGAATCGATTAATTACCTTGATCTTGATTGAAGCCAGCAAATAATAGACGGTTACCATGTGGATTACTTCTGCCGATGTTCATTATTTCAATTCGGTCAACTGGAGAGAAATTGTTTAACAGATGTCCATGCGATGAACTGTGGACGGGTAGGATGCGTTTTCAAACCAACTTGTTAACGATCTATTGGCAGCATGAAACACCTTGGGTGCATGATAAAAATAATTCTAACAATTCTAACTACCTAAGCATTTAACGTTTCTTTTGTAGTGTTAGGGAAACAACCATACAAAATAGCATATGGTCAATAGATACGGAAGTGTTCTGCAAAAATAAAGGGAAAAAAATAACAACGTATTTTTAAAATGAAAGCGTGATGACAGAATTTTAAATTCAAAAGTGGTAAAATAAATGAAGAGGAAAAAAACTTAAAAACAATATTACTTTTGTAAAAAAAAACAACAACAAACAATAACGAATGCAACTCGTTGCATAAAACTACGACGGCCACGATCGGGATAAATAAAATTATAAATAATCGGAACGTCATAAATGATAATAAAATATATGTATATATAACATATTATTATATTCTGGTTTCTCATACGTCGCTTATCTCTGGACCGTTATCAACTATAGTGAGTTGGTACCGCCGCAACATCAGCTGCTGATAATGCGACCGTCAATGATATAAATAATTGTAGTCGCAGCTTGCAGATGCTCTTGACTTGTTTAGCCCCTCGCCCATTCTACGTGGTTCTACTATCTATGGCAAGTCCGCGATTTGATAATTTTTTTCTCTTTTTGTGTTTCATAGTTACACATGCCATTGATATTATTATTATTATTATTATTTCCAAACTGCCGGCAATTGCCGCCGCTAGTCTAATTTGCCGGTTTGTGAGTTTCGAGTGCCAGTCACTACCCAGTACTCCCTAGTTACTACTCACTAGTCACTAGTCAGTAGTCAGTAGTCAGTGTGGTAGCATTGTTTATCGTGTACGCTCGTCTCTCGTTTGTCTTGATTGTCCGTTAGTCTGTCGGTGTGCGCCTTAGTATCGACTACCGGCCTTTTATTTTCGATTATCTGTACATAAGTGTTCATTGTTTTTTCCGAACGTCCGTAACGGTTTTTTTGAAAACCATTTCTCAACAATCTAGCGTCTATGCTGCAGCTGCTGGCTCACATCCGAAATACGATATCCAACGATAATATTATTATGTCATTGCGATGATATCCCGTCACCCGTCGTCCGAACACCACTCACTGCCGTCGTGTTATTGACCCATCAACATATGCTATTGGCCGCTGCCTGCTAGTCATCGGTTACAAAATCGGAAATAGGTCTCCGCGGGTTATTATAGACTACCAATCATCCGGCTACATATCCATCCACGTTGAAGTCAAGACCGGATCCGTCATTGTTACTGTTGAAGTGATTATATTCCGTAGGAGGTTCGTATTATTATTATATTATGCAATTATTATGGAATAAGTTACGAAGTATAATGTCATAATAATAATTGTGATTTGCGAGTTTAGTAGTAGGTAACACATTTATCTATTTATATTATGCACGAGAGCACAACAATGAGTAGATAGCTATTACGGGACGGCCATGCTTTGTGTCTGAGAAATTTAATTTACGATGATATTTGCATAAAACGCTGACTTGTGTGAAATTTCTGGTGGTTTAGCTGGTAAGTAGGTACTCTATTCATATTTGTTTATTTATTTCAATCAAAGCATATCATAGAACCTAGAATACTATGTGTCTATGTGAGTATCTTTAACTAGGGTGTCTTTATAGTAATACACATATTTTTATAGTACGCATCAGAAATACCTATTTACCAATGATTTAAAAAAAATGGGGAAATATGTTTATTGAGAGTTGGTAAAGACTGCTTCCATTTCAATTCTTTATTCATCCCTGATACGTCCCCCTTCAAATAGGTATGGCGTGATATACACAATAAAATATTTTATACTAGAATATTACAGCTACCTATAGTAATAGTGTGTCACTACATCATTATACGTTTTGTGTTGTCCATTAGTATTCGCTCATGTTTTTACTATTGTCAAGGTCCAGTTGCGATTTTGGCACTGCCGCGTCGCATATTTTTATTTTGTACAAGTATATAGTATTTAGCTGCAGGTTAATGATGATAATAATAATAATAGATATATGTGGTGTGGAGAGGAAAACTGTTTTTGAACTCGTGCCACGAATGTTTTTAAACATAACTGTAGCATATAACGCCCTCGAAAACGACTGACAAACCCCACTCACACTTCAGTTGTTTCGATCGTCCCATCGGTAATAACTAATAAATTTTCACGATCTGCAGTCATGAGTGTGTTTTGTTATTAAAACCATTAAATAATATAATATACGTTTACAACTCCGGTCTTTTTAAAAACCTCTCCCGCGTAAACTCACTGGTTGGACATGAACTTGTGGATGGTCTGCAGGTATACTACCCCATCTTTTTCTATCAACAAGTTTCTCGTTCCTGGTTGATGATCCATTGATGAGGATCTATTTTACGAGGTCTCGCCTAATTATGTCCCAAAGTGACCTTTTTTTTTTTTTTTATCTGATTGCAAGCTCCTACAAAATAGTTAAGAAATACTGTTTTTAATGGTTATCAAAATTAAATAAGCACATATAACTACATTTTACGTATTTCGATGTAATTAAAATTGAATCTATTAGATTTTAAGTTAGGAACCCACGGAAGATATTTAAATATATTATTAAAAATTACATCTTTAAATAATATAATAATCTCATTATGACTATATTAATAATTATTTTCTTAACTAAAAGTTTTTTATTTGTGAATATGTTATATATATAAAAAAAAAATTATATTTCTTTTATTTTTATGATAATTTTATTTATATCATACGTCATATTTTATAACATTTAAATAAAATGAAGATATGTTATTTTTGTAACTAATGTATGTCGGCTGAAATTGTGAATTTCCGAATTTTAAACTCAGTCAAAAATATTATATAACTCGAACGCGCAATATAAGTAGGTTAGGTATAACATTGGGATGAGATGGATTCAGTGCAACGAATGATCATAGTTTCGATTCTTTGCAAAGTCGATAGTTTTACAATAATGAATACCTATATATTTCTTATTATTTCTACGTCTATGATCATTATTATTTTGGGTAAAATAAAGAATGATTCGTTTATTATTTTTTCTTATCTTGTTTTCAGTGTAGCTTATTAAATGTATGAATGATGATACGCTGGTAATTTCATTATATTTTCACGTATCTTTTCTATTTCAAGATAGGTACGTGAAAAAACGCTTTAATTTTTCCAGTGCATTCGTTTTTTAAAATAAAACGAATTTTGTATATTTTTTTATAATCTGAGTAGTATCAATGATATAGAGACGCAAATATCATCAATAGTACATAAGATATTCAAATTGAATTGTATTTTAAAAATTATTTGTAGTTCTTTTTTTATTTAGATATTTTTAATAGTTTTTAATATTGACCATACATTTTTCTCATTATTCTTTTTAATTTTATTTTCGTATTAAGACTGTTTTCCGCACTCGTTTTTGGTATCGCCGACATTGTCATTGGTATTAACGAAAAACGATGGTACTCGAAATTTGTATGTTACAAATATTATTACAATATGCGTTTATTTTCTATCACATATAAGCACGGTGTGTCATAAGTCCGTAACGTATTATTTATTCAATTTAAACTTGTTTGTGGAACACTTTCTGTCTTTTTAGTTATTAATTATTAACAGAGTAGTTATTACACAGAAAAATCAATTTTACTGATTTTAACAAGACTATTGCATTTGGAGTGTTTATTTTGTTGAATAATGTTACGTTTATGTAAAATCGATTTTTTATTTCTTTTTAGTGTTTAATTTTTGTATGTGTTATAAATTATAATAGATGTCACGTGTTATAACAACGGGATTTCGATATAATAAGTGTTACGCTATAATTTATAGAACATATTAGTACACATATAAAATACATATTAAATAACTTATTATGTTGTGTAGAAATTCTAAATTTAACAGTAAAAATGTTTATGTATCATCTGATTTTTACTTTAAACATTAATGACAAATTGTTCTAGTTTGAAATTCTATAGTTATTGCTTAAATTATGGTATGCGTGCATTTGTCGGCGCAGCAATGAACATACTAGTAGTTGAGCTAGTAGCATTATGTATACTTCATGAGTAAACATAAAAATGTAATCTACCTATCATTATTCTTTTTGTGTAATGTGTGTCGACTATAGAAAAATTAACTATTGTTCACAGTATCTATGCGGTATTGTTTACTGAGTTCTTTACCTAGTATCTGTTATGCATTAAAATATTTTTAATACTTATAATCTTGTAGGTGTTGTCTAGTTGCCCTCGATCTGACCTTTTGTCTCGATTGTACTCTGATAAAAAATTGTAGGGCTTAAAATGATTCATAGATTGCTCACTTGCTGTCATAAGCAGTTAGTATCTTAATTTTTTTCAACTTTTTGTGTGTATATAATTCGGTTTAGCTAGAAATAATTTGAAATATGATGGTGTGGTCAGAAATTAAAAAAGACAAATAAAATAATCTAACCTGTAAATAAAATATTTGTGCGAATACACTTTTAGGTGTAATATTAAATTTAAACGATCTTATTTACATTTTAAGACTTACCCACATATTTATTCAATATTATAATGTTATGACTAAATACTCTAAACTCTAGATTTCTAGAATCTAGAGTCTATATAGATAATTTATGTTATCACTAGATATTGTTCATCATATAGGTTTCTATAATTCAAAATATACGACCATATATAAATATTATTTTCAAGTGCCAATTGACATTGAACAATGTTAACATAATTAATTTAAATTTAATGAGTTATTCTCTATGATAGTAAATTAATTCACATGCAATAATTGCATGGATAAAAAAAGAAATTAAAAAAAATTTTCTATATAATTTTTTAGTTTACTAAACTAATAAACAAATTAATATATTTTTTTTAATAACCCAAGATAACCAAATTATGTATGTTAATATTTAAAAGATTGCATTATTTAAATTGTTATATGAATTTTAAAATTTAGGCATGGAGCGAGGTAAGGAGTTTCTATATAATAGAAAGACAGTTGCAGTGAACAAGGAAGTAACTTTATATAGAGATTTAATTTAGTTAATTGATTTTAATTTTTTTCAACAGTTCTGAACTTAAATCAAAAAAAAGTTTACATATTAAAAAAATTAATAAATTGAAAGTCATGTTAACTGTGAAGTAACTTAATACTTATAAGCTTTAATTTAATATCTGTTTAATTAATAGGCGCCACCTTTCCGATAGAATTGGAATCCAGAAAATATATTTTAGTTATTTTTTCAATAATTTCTAATCAACGTATGTCTTTTGATTACAATGCAATATTTTTTATCACGCGTATAGGTAATAATCTGAGTAAGTATAATAGGTATATCGATTCCACCGATTT